AAACGATTCAAAATAATCAACATTGCAAGTTTGATCCGAATCTCTCTTGTAGATCTTGAAAAGTGTGAAATAGGCTGCTATGTCAAATTTTAACGAGGCCGACCATTTAACAACACTGTCGTTTCAGTAGTAGCAAGTGGTACTACAGAAGTTCAACATACGTTTGTTTCAAGATTCGGTAGTGACCATATTGGGATTTTAGACAGACCCGAAAAATAACGATATTTCAGGAAAGTTTCAGCTGAATCCAACTTGTTTGATTTGAGAAGTTATGACTGTGAAACTACATTACAAAACACCGCCCTGGTTGTCATGTAGAAGTTTAGTCGTCGAAAAACAGCATCGCCAGCTTCCTTTCTTAACTTTATCACCGATTTTCAGCTGAAGACCACTAACGGAACAACAGAAGTTACAGTGTTTTCAGAGACTGCAGTCATATTGGAACTCGAAGGGACCCGCAAAAATGAAACAACCATCTTAAGATTTTTCATGCAAGATTGAGTTGAATGAAAATGTTGGAACTTTGAAATTTTAATGACGGCGGATGAAACATAATGGCCATTTGTTATTTTATTTCTTCGGGTCAAATGGCCTAAAACAATGTCACCAAGGTACATTTAATACATATCCATCCTGCGTTGTTTGGGCAACAATACGGGCATTATCGGTTATATCTGACCGTCCACACCATTAACATCAACATGTATGTCGAATCTACATTGTCAACGATCACCTTTATATCGATAAACTGTGTATATCGGTATCTAAACTGTCACTGCCTTCCCTTTATAACAAACAGGTGTCTATCTGTATCTAAACTGTCACTGTCTTCCCTTTATCACAAACAGGTGTCTATCTGTATCTAAACTGTCACTGTCTTCCCTTTATCACAAACAGGTGTCTATCTGTATCTAAACTGTCACTGCCTTCCCTTTATCACAAACAGGTGTCTATCTGTATCTAAACTGTCACTGTCTTCCCTTTATCACAAACAGGTGTCTATCTGTATCTAAACTGTCACTGCCTTCCCTTTATCACAAACAGGTGTCTATCTGTATCTAAACTGTCACTGTCTTCCCTTTATCACAAACAGGTGTCTATCTGTATCTAAACTGTCACTGCCTTCCCTTTATAACAAACAGGTGTCTATCTGTATCTAAACTGTCACTGCCTTCCCTTTATCACAAACAGGTGTCTATCTGTATCTAAACTGTCACTGCCTTCCCTTTATAACAAACAGGTGTCTATCTGTATCTAAACTGTCACTGCCTTCCCTTTATAACAAACAGGTGTCTATCTGTATCTAAACTGTCACTGCCTTCCCTTTATCTCAAACAGGTGTCTATCTGCATCTAAACTGTCACTGCCTTCCCTTTATAACAAACAGGTGTATATCTGTATCTAAACTGTCACTGCCTTCCCTTTATAACAAACAGGTGTCTATCTGTATCTAAACTGTCACTGCCTTCCCTTTATAACAAACAGGTGTATATCTGTATTTACATTTTCACTGACTTCCATTTATGACACACTGGTGTATATCTGTATCTAAACTGCCTCTACCGTCCTCTAAAACAAAATGGCGTGAAGCTTTATTTACAATGTTATTTTTTTAAATCAATAAGTCACAACTTTTGGTACGACCTTTATTACTTATTTTGTACAAAAAATAAATACATGTAGATGTGAAAATGTTAAAGATTTAAAAATGATATCTATCGCAATTAAAAGATAACAATTCTGAAAAAGGTATGGAGTTATAGTGTATGACTGAGTATGTGAAGTGACAAAATAAAATGTTTATCATCTTTAATATATGTAACAAAATAAACAAAAGTATCTTCATTACTTATACCAATGAAGCTCAAAGATGCAGATATACTGAGACTAGAAAGCATGATAAAAAATAACCAACACTACTACTTGACAGTGGGCATTTGATGAATGATATGGCAGTGTACCGCCAAACTGGCCAAATGATGACTGATGGTGCACCATACTTAAAATGGTACATTTACAATGAAAGATATTAGTTGAGAAACTACAACATTACAATGTGTTTGTATCAAACATGTATTTCTCAGATCATTACAACCAAGGTTTGTATATAGGAAGTATGTTCCTGATATTGTAATATGATAATACAACAATAAAGTACAAATAAGATGATAGTGTCTTACCAAAGAATGACCCTCCTCTTTTGAAAAAGTGCTCATGCTCTACACAATGGTTACCATGGAGATTAATAACAATGCTGGTAAATATGTACTTGATGATTTTAACTTTTGGAGAATTTATATTAAATGGACCTGAGTAGAAAAATACTAAGGCTTACTACATCAATGCTTTCAATAATAATGGTGTTATCCATTATCATTTCAAAAAGATCTGTGTTTTATCAGAAAGAGAATTCAGTAGACTTTACATCTTATCTAGTCTGATTGGTGTTTTATCTGTAAGAGAATTCAGTAGACTTAGATCTTATCTAGTCTGATTGGTGTTTTATCTGTAAGAGAATTCAGTAGACTTTACATCTTATCTAGTCTGATTAGTGTTTTATCTGTAAGAGAATTCAGTAGACTTTACATCTTATCTAGTCTGATTGGTGTTTTATCTGTAAGAGAATTCAGTAGACTTTACATCTTATCTAGTCTGATTGGTGTTTTATCTGTAAGAGAATTCAGTAGACTTTACATCTTATCTAGTCTGATTAGTGTTTTATCTGTAAGAGAATTCAGTAGACTTTATCTAGTCTGATTGGTGTTTTATCTTATCTAGTCTGATTGGTGTTTTATCTGTAAGAGAATTCAGTAGACTTTACATCTTATCTAGTCTGATTAGTGTTTTATCTGTAAGAGAATTCAGTAGACTTTACATCTTATCTAGTCTGATTGGTGTTTTATCTGTAAGAGAATTCAGTAGACTTTACATCTTATCTAGTCTGATTAGTGTTTTATCTGTAAGAGAATTCAGTAGACTTTACATCTTATCTAGTCTGTTTGGTGTTTTATCTGTAAGAGAATTCAGTAGACTTATTAGTGTTTTATCTGTAAGAGAATTCAGTAGACTTAGATCTTATCTAGTCTGATTAGTGTTTTATCTGTAAGAGAATTCAGTAGACTTAGATCTTATCTAGTCTGATTAGTGTTTTATCTGTAAGAGAATTCAGTAGACTTTACATCTTATCTAGTCTGATTGGTGTTTTATCTGTAAGAGAATTCAGTAGACTTTACATCTTATCTAGTCTGATTAGTGTTTTATCTGTAAGAGAATTCAGTAGACTTTACATCTTATCTAGTCTGATTAGTGTTTTATCTGTAAGAGAATTCAGTAGACTTAGATCTTATCTAGTCTGATTGGTGTTTTATCTGTAAGAGAATTCAGTAGACTTTACATCTTATCTAGTCTGATTAGTGTTTTATCTGTAAGAGAATTCAGTAGACTTAGATCTTATCTAGTCTGATTGGTGTTTTATCTGTAAGAGAATTCAGTAGACTTAGATCTTATCTAGTCTGATTAGTGTTTTATCTGTAAGAGAATTCAGTAGACTTAGATCTTATCTAGTCTGATTGGTGTTTTATCTGTAAGAGAATTCAGTAGACTTTACATCTTATCTAGTCTGATTGGTGTTTTATCTGTAAGAGAATTCAGTAGACTTTACATCTTATCTAGTCTGATTAGTGTTTTATCTGTAAGAGAATTCAGTAGACTTAGATCTTATCTAGTCTGATTAGTGTTTTATCTGTAAGAGAATTCAGTAGACTTTACATCTTATCTAGTCTGATTAGTGTTTTATCTGTAAGAGAATTCAGTAGACTTAGATCTTATCTAGTCTGATTGGTGTTTTATCTGTAAGAGAATTCAGTAGACTTAGATCTTATCTAGTCTGATTGGAGTTTTATCTGTAAGAGAATTCAGTAGACTTAGATCTTATCTAGTCTGATTAGTGTTTTATCTGTAAGAGAATTCAGTAGACTTAGATCTTATCTAGTCTGATTGGTGTTTTATCTGTAAGAGAATTCAGTAGACTTAGATCTTATCTAGTCTGATTAGTGTTTTATCTGTAAGAGAATTCAGTAGACTTAGATCTTATCTAGTCTGATTAGTGTTTTATCTGTAAGAGAATTCAGTAGACTTAGATCTTATCTAGTCTGATTGGTGTTTTATCTGTAAGAGAATTCAGTAGACTTAGATCTTATCTAGTCTGATTGGAGTTTTATCTGTAAGAGAATTCAGTAGACTTAGATCTTATCTAGTCTGATCAGTGTTTTATCTGTAAGAGAATTCAGTAGACTTTACATCTTATCTAGTCTGATTAGTGTTTTATCTGTAAGAGAATTCAGTAGACTTAGATCTTATCTAGTCTGATTGGAGTTTTATCTGTAAGAGAATTCAGTAGACTTAGATCTTATCTAGTCTGATTGGTGTTTTATCTGTAAGAGAAATTCAGTAGACTTTACATCTTATCTAGTCTGATTAGTGTTTTATCTGTAAGAGAATTCAGTAGACTTTACATCTTATCTAGTCTGATTGGTGTTTTATCTGTAAGAGAATTCAGTAGACTTTACATCTTATCTAGTCTGATTGGTGTTTTATCTGTAAGAGAATTCAGTAGACTTAGATCTTATCTAGTCTGATTAATGGTTTATCTGTAAGAGAATTCAGTAGACTTTACATCTTATCTAGTCTGATTGGTGTTTTATCTGTAAGAGAATTCAGTAGACTTTACATCTTATCTAGTCTGATTAGTGTTTTATCTGTAAGAGAATTCAGTAGACTTTACATCTTATCTAGTCTGATTGGTGTTTTATCTGTAAGAGAATTCAGTAGACTTTACATCTTATCTAGTCTGATTGGTGTTTTATCTGTAAGAGAATTCAGTAGACTTTACATCTTATCTAGTCTGATTGGTGTTTTATCTGTAAGAGAATTCAGTAGACTTAGATCTTATCTAGTCTGATTGGTGTTTTATCTGTAAGAGAATTCAGTAGACTCTAGTCTGATTGGTGTTTTATCTGTAAGAGAATTCAGTAGACTTTACATCTTATCTAGTCTGATTAGTGTTTTATCTGTAAGAGAATTCAGTAGACTTAGATCTTATCTAGTCTGATTAGTGTTTTATCTGTAAGAGAATTCAGTAGACTTTACATCTTATCTAGTCTGATTAGTGTTTTATCTGTAAGAGAATTCAGTAGACTTAGATCTTATCTAGTCTGATTGGTGTTTTATCTGTAAGAGAATTCAGTAGACTTAGATCTTATCTAGTCTGATTAATGGTTTATCTGTAAGAGAATTCAGTAGACTTTAGATCTTAGATCTCAAAAGTTCAAGGAAATATATGTACTTCATCAGTAATGCTAGCCCTCAATTTCAATGTAATATGAGTTATGGTTTTAATTTCAGTAAAAAGAGATCCATAGGGACTGTATTGCTTACCTGATTGTTTTATACAAATTAAAGGAAAATTATTTCTAAAAGTTTATAAGATATTTCTCATTGGCTCCATGTCTTCGTCCCTAGGGGTTCAGTCGAACTATTTATACGAAAGTCTCTTTCATCCTAGAATGTTTCAAAAGAAATTGGGTCAAAAACCTATCATTTCTACAGTAGGATTTAAAGAATTTGCTCTACCAAGAGAATTGGGGCACTCATAATGACGGATTCTAAAATGGAGGACTGACAAAGGGACGACATGGTATGGCAGAAGCTCATCTTGATCCTTCAGACAAGATGAGTTTACAGGCATGTCTCTGAAAAGTTCAATTTTATGTACCACCTACCTATAATTCTGAATTATTTATTGAATTGTCTACACAACAACACATATTGGAAGAAAGGTCTTCATTTTGTAGCAATGTATCAAACAAGGATAGAACATTTGTATCTATCCAAGGAAATAATCATTTGTACAGTATTTTAACGGGTGAAAAAAATCTTAAAATTGATTTTCTTTCTCAAAGTCAGTTTTAGGTAAGTTTCCATCTTAAAGATAATCTTGTTAATACAAGTTAGATAATTTTAACTACAATATACATGTAATGCAAATGTAAACTGTGCAAAACATTAACTGCTGTCCCGTGCTAAGACTTTTAACCAAGTTTGAAATAAAGGAAATTACACACAAAAACGTAATTTTCCTATTGAACTCTTCCATCAATCAACAGTATTTAATAGATCCTATCATATCCAAGTACTGAGAGGATCTTTGACATACGAGTCAATGTGACCCCTTTTAAACCTGCCCACCAGCCCCTGGGATCAGCAAGAATCAATATGTGCATATCATCAAACTTGTCATCTTACACAAATAATTCTAACAAAGTTTGAACTATTTCTCATAGAAAATACAAAAATAATGTTCAAAAATGTTATTTTCTTTATAAACTAGTATTTTACCCCCTCCCCATGGAGAAATGTGAAACCTTCAGGTCATGAAATTTACAATATTTGTAAAGCATCTGAAGGCCTTTCTATCCATGAAGAGTATTTCATTCCACCATACTTTGGTATTGAAAAAAAAGATTTTATAAGTTTCTATCAATTTGACCCTTTTTGACCCAACCTATCAGGCCACATGGTGTAGGGACTGTACAATTTACAATTTAGGTACACCTATGGCCATGAAAGGTTTCTGCATTATTGCATTGAAAATGGTTCAAAAGTTTTCCAGATGAAATCAAAAATGTTAAAAGTTAGTGACACACAATGCTGGACAAAAGGTGATTACAATAGGTCACCATGAGATTTTGTCTCAGGTGACCTAAAAATGTTGCTAACAACAAACAATCCATTGATTCCTAAGTATATTAGTTACATTTCATCTCCAATACAATTCATCTTATTCAGCTATCATATTGCTACCTTCTAAAATAATTCTTACATTTTAAAAGTTGGACTGTATGATATTTTTGCATTAAATAAAAAGACCTGGAGCAGGATTATTTGTGGGGTTGTATCAAAATACATTTTCTATGCATCACAGCAGCTATCTGTAGTAAAATGATACCTTAAAATTCCCTAATCTATCACGTGGATTTCCACAGACTGAAAATATCTATGGTTAACAAAAAATGGAAAGTCATGTGACTTGCCTGATTAAAAATAAATAATTTTTTAATTTTTAAATTACATTTAACTACTCAGCATTTTTTCATCAACTTTTTGATAAAAAAACAACATATTACTAACATTTTAGCTAGCCTGACATAGTTTGTTACCAGTGACAATACTGTAAGAAGATGTAGGAAATATTAAGATAAGATGGTGATTTAATGCAGCATGGCACAGATTGTTCAGTTTTGAGCTCATTTATAAAGTCAAATCCGTAGTCATATTAACACTTTCATTTCAGTCGATAGCTTGAATCAATAAACACAATTAACACTATACCAACAGGTCTCTACAGCACATCCATCCATCACAAACTCTATCACAACCAGCATTGTGTATTATGTAATGCTGACATGCTTGGTACGTACAAAGTTGATTCTATGACAACATTTCCTGTTTGTTTTAAGATTACTCTGAAAATGAAGAGCATGGGTATCCAGTAGTGTCATTGACTTGTAAATCTGGAAGCCATAGGCTCCAATTCTTTTAAGTTCACTGAATCTTCTGCGAATATTATGTGATGGCTTCACACTTAGTTCATTCCAAACATCAACATTTACTATCAGCTGATTTACACTCTGAAATGAAAACATCAAATATAATTTTTACTGCATCATAAATACAACTAACAGATTAATAATATTAATCACTTGCTCTAGAGTAGTGCAGGATAAATCTCTATCCAATGAGATTCTCTACTATCTTTCCTTCAAATTTCGGACAAAAATTTCTACCAAAGGAGTGAATTCTTAACTATCAAAACCACAAGAGGAGGGAATCCATGACTGTTCAACAAAAGTCTTTATGACAAAGCAATCTCTACCTGGGGAAGAGATTCCTGACTATCTAGCCAAAAGCTGTGGGAGAGAGAAATCCTAGGGACAATATTTCTGACTGTCTAAGCCAAGGCTCTATGACAGACAAATCTCCATCTGAGGAAGAGATTCTTCACTATCTAGACAAAAGTTTATATGTGACTGTACAACCATGATATATTAAGAAATTTCTCATTTTCATATGAAATCTCGATGGTGATTATTAATGACGTTAATAACCTCCATTGACCCTGACACATCATGACCAATGGGAGTGAAAGGTACCTTTCAGTTCACATGTTTGTGTTCTCTGCATGCTGGTAATCTTTGTTTATGAAAATAAAAATGTTTTACTGTGACAGAAAGTTGGATACTTCTGTTCGATGGGGGTGGAAAAATTTATTGAATTTGCTTTTTAGACAGCAAGGACATGCATTTGTTAAATACTGTTGAACATTCTATGTGAGGAGCACGGTCTAAGACAATCAATCTGTACAACAACAGTATAAAGATGTCAGTGAACGAGAGCTGAAATATACCTGTATATGTCCTGAGTCAAGAAGAGGACCAATCATGTCCCAGAACAGTTCTGGCATGTCCATGTACAGGATATTAGAACTTCCTGTGTGAAGGTGTTGGTCTAATGCATCAATCAGGGTGGTGTGGTGGGTCATCGCAGGCAACAATGACCTTAAAGTAAACAACATACAATGAGGTGTAATGTTAATTTCTGATAAGTTACTTTATCTCTAAATGTGATCTCTCAATAATGATTGGTCACTGTTTGACTTATAATTAGATGTGAAAACTTTAAGTAAATACAAAAGGTGATGAAACAAATTTTACCACTGAACTTCATCAGACCACAATTTTTTATTCTGATATGAATTACAAAATATTGAACTTATTTCTCCTTTCAGTGTACAATAAAAGAATAATCAATCCCTTGGTGTATGAGATATAATGATAGATCATTGATTCTGAAGCAATTTTAAATCAATCATTAGCTTCAATGTGAACAAGCTAATAAATACATAGCATGTGCATATAATAGACAATTTTTAAAATAATCCTTAAGCATATGTTTTTGTCGTGTAATATTTAGGAATCATTTGTAGATATAGTCAAAGCTTCATGTTAACTATTTCTACTTTATATTGGTTTGTGTCTTACCCTTTAACATTCACAAAGAATTCACTGATGTTATAGTTGTAACTAGATAATTGGGTTTCCAGCACCACAGCATGACATTGACCTTTGGACAGGCTGGACACTGTAATACTTGTACCTTTGTTCCTACAACACCAAGCAAATAGAGACTTATCTCCCTTTGTGCACTCTTTCATACACTCATGATTTACCAGTTTTTAACTACAATTTAACAGCCATACAACATACATAACCAATATGTAATGTCAGTACATGCCCAACTTAACACATACCTTACAATGATGATGTTACAAGGCTTATGTAAGTATCCTTCATTCAAACAGATGTCCAGGGGCAAGGAATTACTAATTCTGATATCCAAACTTTCAGAGCAAGACGCATCCTCATTTTCCAGATAGTCCACAAGACGCTCCACTTCTGACTCCTCTGATCCTTAATTCAGACATTAACATTTAATGACAGAATGCATCATGGCATTGTTAACATATCTCGGTAGTTTTTATCTCACTTCTAGATTTGTGATAAACTAGAGAAGAGTATAAATCTGAAGAGAATGAAAATTCTATTAAGCCAGTAAACTTTTTTATTAGATTACCTTTTGGGGTGGATTGCTTACAATCTGAGGGGGTCCAGACCAAGATGTATTTAGTTCACATTAGTTATTTTATCAATTGAGTCCATTTTAGGTTAAGTGGGGTGATTCTGTATTTATTGAATGACATATTCCCAAACATATGGGGTCCTCTGCTGCCTCAAAATGCAATCGGAATGGTTTCAATGCAAAATATGAAGGACAATTTTTGTCCTTGTTTGAAGATCACAAAGGACCTGGACAAGGCAATGTATACTACAGGATTAAGAAGTTCACTTACCATCCTGGGCAGGTGGGTAGAGTATAAAAGCTCTTGGACCAGGGTCCCTGACCCACGACATGTAATAAACACAGGATTCCATAAGGGTGACTTGAAGACAGAGCTGGTCATTTGCAGCAGTGTGGTACAAACGGAATCCAGCATCATGGAACAGATTGTACAGAGCACGATACCAACTGTACAGATAGTCATCATCAACTTTGTCTGGAACAAAAACTTTGTTGATAAAAACTGAGTTCACAACAGACTTCAAGGTATCTTGATAACTTTTCATATATCAAAATAACACTGTTAGGAAATGAAATTTTCAATCAAGTGATACAATACAAGTTGCCAAAGTGTCACTTTATCAGAAAGAATGAGAAACTTGTCTGTTACTTACCAATGTGGAGGGCAATATGGAGTTGTCCAACACGAGAAAGAAGCTTGTCTTTGATCATGAAGTACAGGACATCATGTGAATGACTGCTGTCCATGAAGTGATCCATCTTCAGGATGTCTATATAGGTATGGCCAAGACTGAGCATCACATTATTAACTGTCTGTGTATCATAGGAGTTGCGTACAAAATCAGCCGGATCATTTGGTACAACAGACATATGCATGTTGCGTGAGGTGTTCGAGTACAGAGAGAAGTCAGAACTTGGCAAATCTGTACCAAACATGTACAGATTAAAAGACAAATTTTTTGCAATAATCCTTTCAAATTCTAAATCACCTTTAGGTCTGAAAAAAAAGAAAATATCATTTATTAACAAGCATAATGACTCGAATACAAGAAGACACAGAATCCCAGTTACTACAAATGTCTTATTCTTATGTTAAAAATGTTCTGTGCATTATTTAAAGAAAGATTTTGTGATGGCAAATACAAGTAATCATTAATTGAAACAGTGACAAATCAAATAAATATATCCAAAATGTAACAGAATCATGAAGAGAAATAATCATGCATCTTTTTAATCAAATTCATGTACAATACCTAGTTTACATATGCTTTCAGATAAGTGATCCACTAATGGAATACTTGCCCTATAGAATATGCTAGTTTCTTGCCCCTTGTGTCAATGTTAACACCTCCTTCCTTCTCTGTACAGATGGGCCAGTATGTGTTATTTGAGATTTGTATAGTGGAGTTACATTGGAAATGTTGTAGAGTAATAAACCGAAGCAGACGCTTTGCTTCACTCCGGGCATCTGACAGAACTTGGAGAGGGCTATATGCCTCATTAAAATAACTTACTTGGACACACATATATACACCAATGGCAATAAATATTGCATAAATGATAGTCTTCTTTTTCTTCATTTTACTTGGATTTTTTAAAATTACATGAATGGCGTAACCAGATTCTGCTATTTCTTCATTAAGATGCTTTTACTTAATAAAATCAGGAATTTCTGGAAAACATTACTAATAGCAATAAAACATTTTTCATTCATTTATGAGAAGTTGGATTTGAAATAGATTGTTTCATATCCCCTGACATTAGAAGAAAAGGAGGAAAATTAAGTGCCATGACAAAAGAGCATCTGGTTTGTCTTAAAAATAACATCTTGTCCACTCCATGGTCCAAATCTGCATCACCATTGCAATCACCTGCATAAACAAAAAGAATATTCATAATATCAAATATAATATAAGGTATATTGATATCTGCAGAAAAGCATACATACAAGAGCGTTGCATAAAAAAGTGTTAAGTCTGAGAATTACTGGCAATATGTTCATATATTTTTTGTAACCAGATACTCATTAGCGATCATGCCTGCTCTTTTGTTCTCCATTATTTCTGGGGCAGGATTACTTCCCTTCAGTACTTTAAGTTTTACCAACATTTTGTGAACATGTTATACCCCTTAATAATGTGGGATGACTCAGATATTTAAACTTTTGCCATAGACACCTAAACAAATTGTACAAATAGCAACAGTATCACATCAGACGAAAAAATAAATGCCAATTTCATGCCGTGGTTATCAACACTATTTTCAAAGAAATTGCTTAAAAACTGAGAGAGCTGGTCTACTGGGAAGATCTGAAATGCTTAAAAATTACTTGTTGTTATAAATCTACCATTTCTGCCCATCTCACAAAAATTGACTTTTTGGAAGGCTTAAGATTCCACATAGTGGAAGCCATTGTAAATATGCTGGAAAGTAAAGTTGTTAAGGAAAATGAGTGAAAAAACTTGGTTGACAACATTTCATTAATTTGTCACATATGCATGTTATTAGAAAATTAATTATCTTTCCACCCACATATGATTTACAGCCATCACACATTTGTAAAAGGCTTGACTTTTTAGCTCTAATTATCACTGTGTTAGATTACTAGTAAGGCTATCCACATGTTAAAACAATTTTTTTCCTATCAGGTACCTAAGGAGAATAACTTTGCATTGTGCCTTATTGATTACTTATATAGACTATAATCCATCATGTCAATTGAACAACTACATGAAGTAATTGAAATTTTAAATAAAAAGCAAGTATTAGGTGTAATTTTATCTGTCATTATGTTGAAACTACGAAATACACTTACTTAATGACTTTTTTCACAAAAAGCCCCAAAAGCCTTGAAACAAATTTTAATCAACACTACTCAAGCTAGCTACTTCAAGTATATTTTTGTGTATTTGGGTAAAAAGTTAAGCCAGTTGTAAACTAATTAAAGCATTTCGTGATTGCCAATCCTTGCTGTGGTCACTAAAATTTTGCGTTTTATATGGGACGGATTCTGACTATCATCAATGACCAAGGCAAAAACAGACATTCAGAACCCTTCAGACCATATATCAAAATCTGCTCACATCTATCTTGCTTTGGTAAAAATTGTGTGGTATGGATGGCTTAAAATCTCTCTAATCGGAAAGATTTTCTTCCATATCAAGATCCTCTATATAATTCATTCATCCAGGTAAACATGGCTGCATGGTTGATATAAGTTGATATAACATGTTAAGTCATTTTATGAACATTCATAATGTGTTAAATATCCAAGTCTGTGATTTTATACAAGTACTTATTTTGTCGTCATACAAGTCTGAGATCGAGCATTTCTGATTTTACAAATGAAATTACAAAAGCGATCATACAATAATAATTCTTACCATCTTTGAGACAATAATTAGCTTTTCACAATAGTGGAGATGAAATACAACGTATCTTGACTTAACCTGCTATGGCATCGACAATCGGCTCAAGCTTGTTCTCAATCCGGTACAAGAATCCTAATTCATAACGATGTTATATACCTTATTCCGATGTCAAATATAATAAATCAACTCTATCTGATAATTAAAAACAGATCTATTCCTATAACTTACATTTCTTCTTCGGTATTGTCCACTAAAAACAATGCTTTATACTCGATTCTGTGTTCCTCTTTTGGAATAATTATGGAACTCTTTTGTGTGGGAAACCAGTAAGTTACCATGAATCGCTAATTTCACAGCTTGGGACAGCAACGCAGAGGAATAATTTTCTCCCACCTCTCCCACCATGTGGAATATCATACGAGTGTTTAATCTATATTATTGAGTGACCTTTACCTCAATGACGTCTGACTATCTTGTGAACAAAATGAATTCTTTTATCCGTTACTTGTGTTGCCATATTTTCGGAATCCACCAACCACGTTAACTATTAACACTTGCAATTGCTTTCTAACTTAAATATTTCATTTTAAAATATAAATAGAATAAAAAGAATGCTTGCCAAAAATCATAAAATTGCTTTTATATCCATTGAAATGTGGAACTATATTTCCGCCCAGAACCATTATTTTGACGTACGGCATCTGGCAAAATTCAGTGTAATGTCAACGCCTGAATAACTCCACTATAAATGTGCATTTTTTTTCAGATTGAAGTGTAAAATTCCAGATTAAAGTATAACTTTTACAGATTAAAGTATAACTTTTACAGATAAAAGTGTAAAATTTACAGATAAAAGTATAACTTTTACAGATAAAAGTGTAAAATTTACAGATAAAAGTATAACTTTTACAGATGAAAGTGTAAAATTTACAGATAAAAGTGTAAAATTTACAGATGAATATGTAAGATTAACCGATAAATTTTACTTTGTAATGTCAGAGACGTTTATATCGTGTTATATATGTCTCTGGTAAGTGAAAAAAATACAGATTAAAGTGTAAAATTTCCATATGAATGTGTAAAATTTACATATGAATGTGTAATATTTACATATGAATGTGTAATATTTACAGATTAACGTGTTTTACAGATTAATGTGTAAATTTTACAGATTAGGGTTTTTAAATCATAAAATAAATTTTTAAAAAAGGTTTTAAAGGTGCACTAATACGCCTCCGTATGATATGTACATGTGGGATGATAGGTATTCTACACTGTGGTATGTTCAGAACCTCGGAAAAGCCTGGGGTCTGACTGAAATTCTATACCCTCGGGTAGAATATCGCTACTTACATGTGACTTTTATTATTCCATGGGTGTTACAGTGGCCAACCGTGATTAACGTATTGGGCACCGTTTTAATATAAATATACAAAATGTGATATCGAGAATTTGAGATAATAATATTACAAATCAGTGACTCGTATCCCAAGAAGTAGTAAAGTTAAATTTGCCACATAAAACACTAAAGTGTGCGCCATTGTCAAGGTCTCTGTCACTCACCTAAAGGAGCATGCTTCTTGGCGGAGTTGAGATAGTTCATTAGGGAGACTGTTCCACGCCGTTGCTGGTTGCCTTCGGAAAGGATTTCTGACCGTTCCCATGGACATAGATATATATAAATCCGTGCCATTTTAAGGAATCAAAATTCACTGGTCAGTTATATATTGAGGAATGTCAATACTACGTAAAACAAGAGGCTGAAGGGGCTTATATCGCTCACAGGATTTCAAATATGGTACATTATTTCCTTATTGGGTCCCGCTACTGTGGTTAAATAGAAGTAGGGTTTAGTATTTATAAAAACTGCTTCTGACCAAACTTGGACAGTAACCTTGTACAGAAGAAGGAATTTAAAGGACTTACATTTCCCCAATTGGGGCCCATCCCTCCTATCCTCCCCACCCCAGAGGCCTGGTTTAACCGCCATACAGAACTGTTTCCCCTTCACCCAAGAATACTTAAGACCAAATTCGGGCAAAATTCGATCATTCCTACAAGAGGAGCAAAATTTTGAATAATTGAATTTTCCTCTATTGGGCCCCACTCCTTTCTGGCGAGGGAGCCAATACTTATCGTTTATACGAAACTAACTTCCCTTCACACAAGAATGCTTCAGGTCAAATTTCGGTAATTAATTCCTATAGGAGGCATAGGATTTAAATAACTTGCAAAATTCGGGCCCCTTTTGGGCCTCGACCCTCAGGCCTCTTGGGGCTGAGAACCAATCTTTATACAACTTGTTTCCCCTTTACCGTAGAATGATCCAAAGCAAATTTGGAAAATATCCATTTATTTCTAAAGAAGAGTAGGATTTTAAAGAATTTTATTCTTTCTGCTATTGAGTCCCATCCCTCCCATCCCAGAGGCCGATATCTTACGTCTACAAAAAATTGATTCCCCTTCACCCAAGAACGTTTCCTGGCCACATTTGGACAATGTCCACTCATTTTTTAAGAAAAAAATTACTCAATTTTCCCTATTGGACCCAACCCTCACACCCCAGGGGCCCATGAACTGAACAGGATTGATTCCGCTTCCCCGAAGAATGCAAAATCAATTCATTCCTACAGGTGGAGTAGGATTTTAAAGAATTCCCTCTATTTCCCCTATTGGGCACTGCCCCTCACGCCCCAGGGGACCGAGAACCTATATATATAGACTTTGTTCCCCGTCTTCCAAGGGTGCTTTTGACTAAATTTGGACAAAATCTGTTCTGTCGTTGATGATAAGTAGCGATTTTAATAAAAAGTTTACGGACACAACGTCACGACATAAGCTGAAAGAATATGTAAAGGACATACGACTGAATAGGCTCGCTCACGGTTAAGATGCATATTCGCATTATAACAGTTTTAATCTACTAACAAGACAATATAAGATAACAAAGATTATGCGCATTCATAAAATATACGAGGTCGGTCACCCTTTTAATGGCAAAGAATACACCTGACACCCTTCCTTTCAAAGTGGGCGCTTGTAAAGTAAGAAAAATTCTAGTGCATTCATGCATGGAAGAATTTATTTGACTTCTAACAAGTTTGTACAAAGAATATACAAGTGAATATCGCCTTTACATACAATTTTGTGTGAGATGAAGCAGAGCCAAACAATAAATTCAATTGCATCATACAGCCGTTTCGTCCTTCTAGTACTTGTCACTGATGCTAAAGGCCAAATTTGGAAGCCAGTAGACGACTTTAGAGGATCCCGAGGTTCCTTAAGTTCATAATTAAATAAATTTCGTAATTTTCATGCATATGTTTCTACTGACCCATCATAGGCCAGTCACGAATGAATTGAATTGTGACACGCAGGTTACGACAAACCTCGGGGACCAAAATTCCACCAGCAGTGTCAACCGCCTGCTATCTCGATGATTGCACGACGAAAGACACACAAATGAATTAAACTGCACTGGTATTATTTCACAAATAAAAAGAAATCGTATTTTTACCTCTACATTTAATTTTGTCAGAAATATATCTGTAACAAGAAAGTTATTAACCACGCCACTCTTATATACTTACAGGAATTGGAAATGGAGGACACAACAGCCTCTTCTATATCAACCGCACATCTCGATCTTTTTCCTACAACGAAACCAACATGAGAGCTTTCCGCTAAGCTATATGATAAGCGTGATTATTTCAATTTCCCTATTGTTTGTAATTTCCATTTCTGGATATCAACAATCCTGCATCCCCAAACTATGGTATTTACATGTCGCAGTTGATTCGATGTTTCGGAGTCTGTTCTTATTATCGCGGTTTTGTGCAAGAAGTCGTCAACTCACAGACAAACTCGCAACACAGGGTTTCAAAAGTTGCAGGTTGATGAAAATTACGGGGAATCATAGTGATCTCATTGAGAGATGTTATATTTCTTTGTGCAATATGAAACTGGACGTGTCTGATGCTTGTTAGTTTGCCTGCAGGTTCTATTGCTGTATATCTTGTTCCCATTTGAGAACCTGACAAGGCATTACTTTGATTAGGCCAAATGAATGCACATGTTATAAAATGGAAATATCTCGTAATCACGATAGATGTTGGCTTATTTTTGTCAATCCTCCTATCCTCAAAGTTGACGCTTTCACTTATTATGAAGGCACGTTCCATAAACGAGAAATATATTTTCTGTAAGGAAACTGCCGCAAATTCCGGATTGTCCTATTCCGCACTTCGTTCCGGACATTAGAGATATTCCATAATATCCGGTTCTTGCCATCCGATCGCCGGCTGTAGCCAGTGAAATCTTTATTTTTTGGTAGGGTAACAAGGTTAGCTATGAGTAGTCATAAAGAAGAACATGTTATCTCGTTTTCCAAATCGAAGTACAGTTTGCGTTTTCTTGATTTCTGTTACAATGGTCACTTTTCAACGCAGGTCTTTGCATTTACCATGCTACAACTATGACATTTACGGCTCAGCAATTGCAAGGACATGGTCATGGTGATATCGAAAATAGTTCGCTGTGGATATCTACTTATGATGAAACCTAAATTATGCTTTTAAAAAATTCTCAAAAAATGAATATGTTTGTATTTTACAATACGGGGAACATTTTCGTTGTAAAGTAACCAAAAGAGGGATTTTACTTACATTAATCATAACGTGATGCTACCCAAAATGGAAACTTCTCAAATATTTGACACAGAATGTTTCTTTTTGCAATAACAAGTGATTACTGACTATTCTTGAAAAATCAGGCGTTTTTTTAATTAGTGTCAATTTTTAGCTGGCCCATGTCTTCTATGTTGCTTATCATCTCGATTTGAAATTTGAAAAGATGAAATTATAAAAAAAAATCCCTCGAAATAATGCCATGCGACACTACAAATACTGCATCATGATTTAAAACAATGAAAATAAACATTATTGATAGGCAAGGACTGAGATTAATAAGATGGTGAACTTTTATAAAATGAAAAATATTCAAGATTATGTCTTATTTCTATAAGTGAACAGAATATGTAAGGTATTCCATTTTGGGTACTCCTGCCATTTGAAATTCATTGCTGAACCAGGCATGCCTTGCTGCATTCTTTTTTTTGTAATAGACACATGCACTGCTGACATGTAATCAAAACATGAAATGAAAAATGAAGGTATCTGTTTGTGAAATACCAGGAAAAAATACCTGATTCAAACACTTGGTGGATAACTTTCTTTTAAAAGTTTTTCAGTTTGGGTACAAGTAGGTTAGCCTGTATTATTCTAACATTCTATTAACCTTTTTATGTTGATCATGAGTTAACTCTTGACCAATATTAAAAAATTCATAGAACATCAGAATAATTCTGAATTTACTTAAACTAAACTTTACTTGGGGCTACAATATAGGAAGGCATGATATTCCACCAATCAGACACACTCTTGTTAATAAATGTGCCTCTGTTTCAGAAAGTAAACCTGTCAGAAAGACGATAGACAACAAAGACCATTGACCTTGGTTAGATCACAGAATGCTTGCTACCAATTCAAGACTAGCATTGAAACTTGTGCATAGAAACTCAGTCAGATGTGTACAGTGTGCAATTCAGCAAAACTTTAGGTATGTTGCTGGTTTTTAGCATGAATTTTCATCTTCATAAGTAGTGCATAAAATGTTGCAAACAAATTTTAACTATTCCCTGATCGGTTGGAGGGGCATATTCAATGAGGCAATACACTAAGGTTCTGGTAATTGACTGAATATTGTTATGTATTAACATGTATCTTCATTTACAATCTGTAAAAGAAATCACAGGACATACTTGATATGATATGGTGTTTTCTGTCTGTCTTAAACTTTTGTTTAATTAAACATCTTACACAATTCAACTGATGTCTTCACAACTTGAAAGGGTTAATCACAATTACATATGGTAATGTTGTATTCAAGAATGACAATTTTAGAAGAGTTACTGCCCCTTGTATTTTAAAAGTCTTGAAGGGTTTTGGCCAGGATTTTGGTTTTCATTAAATTCTTACGCGTCATAATCTAATAGCACTATAATCCAGATTGCGCCTCTTAAATATATCCTAATATCTGTTTTTAGGCAATCAAAATCACTCATTTCTCATGAGTGAGCTATTTACTGAGGTGACCGGTCACATGATACATGTGACATCAAAGTATTTCTTCAACTGGCTGAAACAATAGAGTCTAAGGCAGACATGATATCCTTGATTGAAAGTGAGATATTCTACTTTAACTTAACGCTATGGTGAAAGGACTTATTTGTATATATAGATACACTAGTATGGGTGTGTGCACAAAAGGGGCAAGCTATTGTACATCTCAAAATTGTCCGTAAAGACCGTCCGTTTTGTTTACACTGTGATTATAACAGGTTCATAAAAGAAACCATTTAGCACCTGCACATGCATGAAGATGAAACGATACTGCAAGTTATAATCTTCATTCACTTTCATTGCCGTCTGTCTGGAGGGGTTAGTTTAGACATCTCTGGTTATACATTTCCCTACAACTTCAATAATTATTTGATTTGATCTTAAAATTTATCGCAGTAATTGTTACAGAGAACACATTGAAATATGACAAAAGTTTTGTAGTTATTTCCTTAAAATTCTTTATTTGATATTTTGATTATCAGTTTGATTTGAAGGTGATACGTGTATATCTGTGTGTGGAATGTAGTGACACAGTAATGCATGTTATGTAACAATCAGTTGTAACATTTTTATGACATTTGTTGTCACCATATATCACACCATGAAGAAATCTAATTACAGGTAATAATTAACAGTTCAGTTGTTGCATCTCTTTTAATATCAACTAAAAAGAAAGAAAGAAAACACTTTAATATTTTGCTGTCATTCATTATGTAAATAGTACACTATATTCAAAGAGGTACGTTTCGCTTGAAAAATTTTTGAATATTGGTAAATAAATATAGGCGTGACTTGTGTAATAGTGCCTTGGTAGGTAAATAGAGTATCACTATCACCAAAGTAGTACATTGCAAGTCATATGACCTCTTTATCCTTTCAAAATATGCATATTTACCAGATAAAGATAAAGGGGACGGGGCCAACTTTAGTGGTTGTCTGTGTGCCAAAACAGATGGGATACCATGGACTATATACATTATTGCACCATTTTAGGCTGAAATTTTGCTTTATTAAAAATCATGGCTAAAACCCTTGAATATTTTAGACTGATCTGAATAGTGATATGACCAAAGAGCAGCATTCTTGGATTTTGCCTATGAAAGTTTGTTATCACCGTTTTTGACACATACTTGATGAATCTTTCTCAGATTTCATGTAAAGTTTCCTCTTTATCCCATGCCCTTTTGATTGTGGGACTTATCAGACAACAAAATTGCTGACATGGCCATCTTGGATTTTGATGGTGAAAGTTTATTATGGCTATTTTGTGAGAAATACTGGATGAATCTGCCTCAAGTTTTTAATGTAGGTTTCCCTTGCCCCTTTGTTATGCCCTTTTCATTTTGGGATGGATCAGAAAACCAAAATGGCTAACAAGTGACCATTAAAGAAAAATTTAAAGCATGATATTGATATTTAGAGAAAGGAAGCAAAAAAAGGTATGAACAAAAAAAGACAATATTTAAGGGAAATTTCAGACTAGTCATTCATGAGAGTGATGTTCTGTCAAATTTTTGAAGATAACATTTGGCTGGTGAATCATGCTCAATGAAAGTAATTAACATGCAAATTTTGTGAGTGTTTAAATCAATTTGTTTTGAGGGAATGTTATAATCTACTCAATCTAACATTCTTTACCTTAGATATACTGCAAGCTTGAAATTTTGGACAAATGCATTTAGCTGTTAGGCAAGGTTTTTAAATCACTTTTGAAAATGGACCATCAAATAAAAAAGATATTGTACAGCTTTTGATTGTTATCACTATTTCGTAGGAGGAATTTTCAAAATTTGACTTAAGTAAGGAGAAAGAATAGAAAAGAAGGAAAAAAAAAATTTAGAGAACAAATAAAGACCAAACAATGGTGAGCACCATGGTGATCCCTCTGGGGCTCTTGTTTGTACAAGTTCTTGCCCTTTGTTTTTTTATTAGCATTTCATTATTGGTCCGAGATTTCTCTCAGTTTTTACCCAACCTTTGTAAAACTTTGTAAGAATATAGCAGTTTCCTATTTCAGCTTATTACTCATATGTTGTGTCTGACCCTTGTTCATGATACTGATTGACACTAGACAGTAGTGGTCAGTGTCAATTTTTATTTCATTGTCAATGATTGGTTCTTCATAACCCACAGATTATTGAATATTATTAATTATTTACTTGATTTTTATGAGAAATATTGAGTTCCTTATTGCTTTTTTGTTGTTGCCAATGCTACATGTGAGAAGCATGATTTGAATAATCCACATCACCTCTTAACATTTATTGAGTTAAATAGAAGAATAGTATTAAGTTCATTTCCAAAATCTTAATGTCAAATAATGCAAAATTCAGATTAAAAAAGGAATAGAAACATGTCTGTGTTAGTGGTACATTTAAATATCACTTGCAAAAAATTGCAGTTGAAAAGGCCAGATATGTAGATATGGATTTATAAAATTGGAAGTTAAAAAACACTATCAGTTAATTTATATCAAAATCATTTCTCACTAATGATTGATTATTTCAATTAATCAGCATACCACTAGCAGACAATCACAGTGCAATAAGCTATGGACATTCAATGAAAATGTACACATCTATAATTTGTAGGGTAGTGTGGATTTATAAACCTTCATTGTAGGCCACCATTCAATTTCTTAATGAAAATGGTGCACAAGTATGAAAGTTGGTAATGTTGAATTTTTTTTTTATCTAAATCATAAGCCTTGTTGTAACCATTCATTGATATTTCTTTTTTATCCAGTACCACACAAAGCTTGAGTGAGCTGCGGAAACTATCCTCTGTGAAAATTGTGGACAACAGTGTGATAGGGAAAAAGGCATTAGAGAGAGGGAGCAAAGTGAAAATTCTTCAGGTTTACACTAAGAATGAGGTAGCCCGAGCTGGAGACAAGGTTTTAGTGTCCATCGAGAAAGAGAGGAAAAAGGCTTACATTGTGGGATGTGTTCAGAAACCTAAAGTGATGCAGCCAAGATTTGACAGTAACAATGCAGTGTTGATTGATGACACAGGCGCACCCATAGGGACTAGGATCCGTGTACCTTTGCCTTCACATCTGAGGGGTCGAAGCGGAGACTTCACCAAGATTTTATCAATTGCATCCAAATTTGTTTGATACTGAATGCACTTTTTTTAGAATAAAAAAAATGTATTTATGATTTATGTCTATGGAAATCTCTGTGTTTTAAGATCTAGTGCATATATTACCTGGATGTTACAATGTTATCAAATGCCATAGTAAAGATAATGTAGTTGCTACTGTTACATTGACAAATTGGCCATGATAGTTGAGTCGGTAGAACATTGGCCCAAACTATCACAAGTGATGATCAGAGGTGAGTGGTCCAACTTTCCTTTGGGTAAGATCCTGTACCTCACTCAGTATGGCATCCAATGTGCCTCTCATATTTTGTTCAGAGAGGTAACCACAAGTTACTACATTTGATTCCCAATCCTGACTGTTCACAGGGTAATGAACCCAGGTAACAAAGTTATTGCGACATCATGATAATCTTCAATTTTTAATCCCTTCACCATGAATGTCAGAAAGTGGATTTTCAATGTAGAGATGCTCTTGTACATAATGTTACACTTGTCATCTGGGACAAGTTTATGTTTCAAAGTTAAAGAGATGTTAATAGCAAACTTGGCCCGAGAAGCATATTTGGCTGATATATATACCAGGTGAGCACTGCAAGCCCATTGGGCCTCTTGTTTAGTTTACCTGGTCAGGAGAACCAATAAGTCATGGTGCAGCATCTGTCCATCAACCTTTTTCTTGAAATAACAGAACAACACATCAGATTTTGACCATATTTGGTTAGAAGCATTCTTGGGGTTTAGAGGGACTTACTTTGTGTAATAGAAGGTCTAGACCCCTAAAGCCAGAGAGGCACATAATTGTGTAAATATAGCAAGTTCTTCTTGTAGAGAAAAAACATAATTTTATCAAAATTGGATCAGAAGTATCCTTGTATAATCAAGTTTAAACTCCATGGAGCTAACAAGATCTCTGTCAGTGTCATGTCATATAAATGGGACTGAAATCTATAAAAGTAAAGTGTTCCCACCCCATGGGGTGTGAGGGGTGGTGCCAAAGTGGGATATGTAGCAAATTCTTTAAAATCCTTTTTCTGTAGGAATGTTTCAAAATTTGGTCCAAGTATCCTTGGGTGAAGGGAACTCAATTTTGTATGAACTTTGGGTCTGACCTTCCGGAGATGAGAGGGTTGCAACCAAATAGATGAATTAAAGTTGAGATGAAGGTATGTTTAGAAGAGGGCAATTTTATTTTGCACCAAAGATGCATATAATATCACTTGGGGCTAGGTAGAGAAAATAGATTTAAATCTGTCTTTATCTGTTTGGACAAAGATATTTCAACCTAATTTGATTCCAAGTATCATACAGGAAAGGAACTTGATTTTGTACAAACAGTGGCTTTGACACCACCTCCTCCCATCAACAAAATGAGCAATACAGGCCCTATGAGCCTCTTATATAAGGGATTTTTAATTTTACACCTCTAGAGAGGACCACAATATCTCGGACAAGTTCTAGTTTCAGGAATAAGGTTAGAGTCATGGTCAATATCACTGTCACTATTGTTAGAAAACCAGCCACAATAACTCCCTTAAGTTTGAGTTTCGACCTCACAATGTCAAGGTCACCATTTCTAAAATCCTTGTTATTACTATGGCAGCTTCATTTCTTGATGGATTTCGATCACTTCACAAACTTAAGTTCATTGTCAGTGCTCTAGAGGGTTCATAACTTGAGGATTTCAATCAAATGTTAGATATGATAGAGGACTAAATATTTGACAAGTTGAGCTTCAGGGTAGTAAGGTCAAAGTCAGGGTCACTGATACTATTTTTAGAAAATCCATGACAGACTTGCTGCTTCATTTCATCAGGTATTATGTTCATTTATTAGTGGGCTAATACAGCTTGCACATACATGATAATGAAATTTAAGATTGAGCTTGATCTGGAAGCTTGGACTTTTTGATAGTCAAATAGTCTCAGTTCCTGAAATTTCAACCTCACATTTCATCTAAAATCTACCATATTTGTCCACCAAATTTTCCATTTCCACTTATGATTTTGAGCTTCTAGTGGGTCTTAAAACCTCTCTGTTTTTTACTACAGTTTATGATAACACTTTCATACAGTTTATTTTAATTCATTTAATTAATTTGATTAAACTTCACGGTTGAAAGACCATATCATTACAGACAAGTTCCAATGTCAGGGTTTTAGGGTCAAAGTTACTGTTAACATGTTATAATATAATATGGTATATGTTATGTTGTATGTATTTTCAGAAAATCCTTGTCAATGATCTAGATGCTTCATTTTTTCTGGGATTTTGATTTAAATTCAAACATTTATGAAGAGTTACTGTGCTTGGTTTATGCATAATTGGAGTTTGATTTTCAGGCATTGAAAGGACAATGCCATTTTGTATTAATCAAAGTTATGGGCAAAGTAGCGTATTACTCTTGAAGTAGATCATGTCTGGATGTTTATGCAAGTGGAGATAACTCCTCTGTTTTCCTGTTAAAATACAATACCTCAGGAGTATGTGGTACACATGTATGTGAATGATGACATCATTTTCTGTTTTGGTTGAAGCAAAGAAGTCTGGAAACTGATATCACAACACACACAAAACACCATTGCCAAATAGAAATGATGTTGACTCTGTTTACATGTGTAACATAAAGTTTATGTCCTTATTTTTAAAATTCATTATGAAGACCCTTCAGTATAATGTTGACGGTTTAGTTACAGGGACTACATCTGGTTAGAATATAGACTCTCTATAAGTTTAGAATACTCTAATTACATACACCTATGAAGTGACCAACATAGCACTATCAGGAGTCCTCTGCTGCCATTAGAGGACACAGAAGAAGCCTGCTGTTATGTTGCGAGATATTCATTCAGTTGTTAGAATTTGTCTTTCATCCATTTTCCTCACATTGAAATATGTTAAATCCATAATCTCTGTTTACAAAAGCATGGACACGTAGGACTTGCACATCATTGTGTTAATATCCCATAATATCCCACAAGTTTTCTATCAAACAAATACTTGTGGTAAACAATTTTTTCTTTTTTGATAAACTATCCAATTAGAATATTTTTTCTTATTTCCCTTATTCTCTCTTAATTATATGTTGTAATAATGTACATGCAAGATGTCTACCTAGTGACCATTGTGTTCTTGTGATCAATCCACCCAAAATGCACAGTGTACAACAATGGACCTAAGGAATTTTGAGAGCAACTCATCTAGTAATCTGCCATTTTGATTTTCTGACCTGGCCCAAGATATAAATAGCACACAAATATTTTACACATGAAATTTGAGAATGATCCTTCCAATGCTTATCTAGAAATAGCATTAACATGATATGTTTAAGGACAGATGGACTATGGGTAAAGGATGATTAGCATCAGATAGTGTGCTATATATATTGTGTAAATGTATCAGATAATTATTGATAAATAACACCATTTAGACATGATAAAATGATATTTAATTACTAGTTCATATTCAACATCATATAAACTGTTAACAACTGACAATACAATACAGAATCGTTTATCACATATTTTTGTTGCACTTGAAATTTCCTGAACTTGTGTCATAAAATCCAGCTGTTTCCAGGATGAGAATTATCCACATACAGTCTCCTTTCAAGACGCAACAGTCCTGTGTTGCACAAATTTTTGTCTTCATGATCAGCACTTGTTTCTAGCATGAAGGATATTTTTTTTAATGGAAATGAAAGTGAAACGAAAAAGAGATATTCATCTTTGCGTCCTCTGATTTGATATTTTATTTAAATCCAGAATTTATAGATAACTTTCAATGAGATGACATTAACCTAAAAACTTAACTCTTACTACTCCTGAAAATATCCATACAGCATACTTGTTATTGTAGTAGAATTTTTTTTCAATTCCTTACTCCGTCACATTTCCTTTTTCACTGATCAAACTGGTTCTTGTTTTTTAAAAGATAGGCAGCAAGGTATTCAATTGGATTAGGTGGCCTACAATTAACAAAAAAACACCAATAAAACAATCATGCAATACTTAAATTATGAATGAATACTCTACAAAGGAAATTAGGGAAATATGGCAATTGCAATACAGTAGTATACAAGGTTTAATACAGCAGTGAAAAACCTAGAGATTTAATTTTGTATAAAATGAATTATAATTACGACATTGATTATCATGGGTTCTAATGTCATGTCAAATGAATATTGGCAATAATACAATACAATCATGAGATCTTCACATGGTATAATTACTACTTTTTGAAAAATCTAAAAGATCCAATTGGATTAAAAGTACTACTGTGTATGAAACTGTATTGAGGCATGATGACGGGGTATATCATATCATGTCACATGATTAGGTGCATTTGAAAACAGAGAGATAATCTCTGGATGAGCTAAACACTATGAAAAAACTAAGGAGCAGCCACTCTTCCTAATCAAACAGTTAATCAGGAAATTACAACCGAGTTTGAAAAGGATCAGTCAAAAATTGTGGGAGATCTCCATACAAATAAAAGTTTATGATGGACAAAGGGACTATGCTGTCAAAACATTTTGAGAAGACAATAAAAACCCCATTATATACTGCAAACTAAACAAAATACTTTCAAAAAATATCAATTAAAAACAACAGAAAAAGAATTTCAAGGATACTGACAAAGACATTGTTGATCTTACTTGATATTTTTTATTTTACATAATCACAAAATGACTTTAGGATTTTGTATTTTCTGAGGTTTGATAGTCATGCCATCCTATATATCCTGCTAAAACTCTGTGTAATCAATTTAATTGTGTAATATAAAGAACTACTGAATCAATCTACACATCCTGGAATATGCTAACTTTCTTCACAAGGATCTCAATTGCTTCTGATCCTTTGACCTGTATGAGATCTCTTCCATTCTTCAGAATCCATTCATTCCATCCCATTAATCATAGTATGGTAGAAATGGTATTCTCAATAACAAAATTCTATACCTCCCTAATCTTACATGATACATTTTAGTATATGAGCTAAGAAACAACACTTTTTACGCAGCTATTGAACACATGGTGTGACACAACAAATCGCTCTTCTAAAATCCCATAAACTGAACCAGTCTTAAACATCCTGTATAAGTCAGTTACAGCCAGTTTTAATACTGCTTTAAAACCGAAAGCTGCCACTTTTTTTTTTACATAAAACACACTTGTGTATTGGAATACATAATAGCCAAAGGATAGTGTACTTCTTTGTAGAAACCTATAAATGTGTAAGTCATTTGATTTTACCAAACTGATTCTATTAACTGGTAAAATATGTCATGTGTGTTGTTCATTAATATTAGATTAACGCAAATTGTATATATTTACTACTACCTGTAGTCCAGTCTGATAAAACTCTTATCTACTGGAAACATCAGTAATGTTCTAACAGTAATGGTATATGACTTGCATTTCAAAAGTTTACCATGATGGGCTATATAACAAATATGAAGGAAGCAGTATGATGTACAGAAATAAAGGAGAGGTACACATGTGATGCTCAAACAACTGCAGGAAAACACTGTAAAGCCTGTAATCAACATTTCTCTATGTGGAATAGTGCCATTGTTGTCATGTGTAACAAATGTCTTGACTGGCAGATCCTGAATAATATATTCACCAGTAATAACCAGAAAAAACTGTCTTTTGTCTTATTAACATTATATGAAAGTGGATAGCAACACATGTCATAATAAAGCATTTTCTCCTCACCGTTCTTTTGCTAAAACAGACATTCCACTTAGTAATATGGGGACAACTGTTTGGTCAAGGTATGCTCTTGTTGGGAGAGATTGTAGATCAACACGGGGACGCTTTGCTGACATATCAATATCTTTTTCACTGCTGATGATTTTCTGAAAGAAAAAAACGCCTTGAGATTATCAAGTGATCAAAACTGCTTACTTAAAGAATGGACGGAAACACATCTGTTGCAACTAAGTTAATCTGTTATAAAATCGTAAACTGTAATTCAAAAGGTTAGATTATTAAAGATGATTATACTAGACAATCTTCATATTAGGACATCAAAAATGGGGACAGAACTCTTTAGACAAATAAAGATAAAAAATAAATAGCAAGTGCATGGCAACTATGTAGCACTACATTTTATCACGCAAATTGAAATCACTAGTTCATAAGATCTGTTATGAAAATATCAGATCAAAGATTTCTTAATACATGTGATGCTAGAGCCATCACTAACTACTGTAATGTCAGTGTAAGGTTTCTAGTTGGGGGAACACCTGGAATACATATGGTATGTAGTAATTAATCAATTTTTTTTTTATTATATTACATTTTAATTAAATATTGAAAGATGACACACACTGAACTAGAACATTTACCTGAACATTTTCTGGAACCTCTGATGGTGTTGGTGTAGTTGTTTGTTCCATAACTGCCTCTCCTGTCACTGAACCACCTATATTTGCTTGATCTAAGTAGCAAAAAAGGAAGATATGAATCTCAGTTCACACTAGACAGAAAATTGTTCAAATGATAATTTAATGGTGATATTCACATTTATTATACTATTATTGATATTTACATTTTTACTGATTATGCTTATTTTAAAGAAAAAAACGAATGTGTTCATGAAAACTTCACACAAAAAAGCAAGTGCACACTTGCACAAATGGATCAAACTAACAAAAACACATTTCAATCACCATTGCTCTATTTATAGCCACACTCTAAGCAATACAGGTGATGAAGTTCGTGACTTTACAAAAAGTGATACTGAATCATTTACTTTTTGTGCAAATTATGATAAGTTTTACCCATATACAGAAATGGAAACACATTATTTAATCAGAAATATGCAAAAAGTGGCATCGTCTTTTTAATATGACCCAATAGCCAATATCACAATGTATATAATTAAATAGGATGTTCATTTCTGTTTTCTAACTTTGTTTTAAAATGATAATTTATATCCCTAACTATGTTAAATGTTAACAACTTCACCATTCTTTTTTAAATAATTCCGCATTTGTGTAACTAACTGATTACTCGAAGCGGTGGCTGTCCCTAAAATGCAGGACTATTACTCAAAAGAGGGGTTGTGCCAAACCAGATACATCGTCTGGACATCGGTTCCGGGCCGTTATTTATTTCGGAACGACGAATTTGTCGAGCCGTATCACATGAATTTGAAGTCTTATCCGTGGATATTTTCAGACAAATACTTATTATTCCTTAATAAATCTTATTGCATGAACACATTTCAAGTAACATGTATTTGATTGGTGGCAGTTCATCAACATAGCGTAGCTGGCAAAAAATATTGTTAAGGGGTCCGAAACTAATGCGCTAAGGATACTATGACTATGACACAGCGGTTGTTCTCTACCTGGCTTACCAAGGTTGTAAATCTGCAATTCTAGCCCATTGTATGGATATAATATTAAAAATACCACATTCATAACAATATCACTGAAGCCAGGGTATTGAAACACAGCATGACAATATGATACGAGCAATGTAAGTTATAACGATCAATGTCAGAACCCATGACACCAGGCGCGCCAAACACTTTCTATTTATAAAAGATATGTGAAGCTAAAACCCCCTTTTAAACATCTACTGCATCGACTGAAGATGTCCTGCTAGTCAGACCATTTTTGTTGATATGTTGGCTCTGTTAACATTGATTGCAGTGACTGTAAGAGTAAATATTAGGAATATTTGCTAGTCACAAAACCCAAAAACTGCTCACCATCCGCCATTTTGGTCACCAATAGCAATTAACGTATTTTCTCGCGAGATTACGTATAGCGTAGAATAATAAACGGAATGAATAGACGGATGTTTTCCTTTTCCGGTCGCCTTACATGTAAATGGGTTAAGAAATATAGAAGCTACCTTAATGATTAGGTTTAATATCTGACATAGTCAGTCGTTTAATAAATGTTTTTATATACAATATATTATTTTAATTATGTAACATGAGATTAAACATGAAAATGGCACTGCCTAAATTTGAGCGATGACATCCTGCCGATATGGCTATATATATCAGGAATGAGTCAGTAGTCCATGATTTTGTATTTGTCGTGGATATGTTGATATTTGTCAGTTTGATTCCAGAGTGTTAATGCTCACAAAGACGAACGCCCCTGATGACAACTCTATTTAGGTGTAGCGGGAAACAGTTAATTTGACATTTTCCTAAAATTATAGGACGTGTTTGAATTTTGGGGCCTATACATACATGACTGGTTATTAAAACGAAGAAAAATGACAGGCAATCTGCCCATTACAAGACAAAACTTATAACATGGATTATATCATGTATACATAGAATATGATACAAAGTTTTTAATTAAAATGCAGAATGGTGTGTAGATTTATGCGTCTCGATAATATCTTCGACCGAAAGGCGTGGAATGCCCTTTGTACTAAGGAATGAAAGATGATGATGCAAATGCCAAACATGTTTTACAGAAATCTATGTACATATTAAAGCTATATATATAATTGTGAAAAGACAATGGTGACCACCTCAGAACTACCGTGACCTTAAAATGAAAAATCTTATTCTGGCTGAAGAAAAGTCGAGCTCAGAGTTGTGGCAATAAGCGAGGAAGAATCGAGCTCAGATATTTTTTTTTTGTTTTGCAATTCTTAATTTCGAATTTACAAGGTATCATACAAAACAAGTCAATACACAGTATCAACCACAAAGTGATCTTAAATGTACACCTTTACAGTAGTTCACATACAAACAAACCGAACACATTTATTATTGACATACACACTTAGATACTCGTACAGATACTTACACACAGCAAACACATTTAGTATATTACAAAAACATACTTCTTTTACATACAAAAATGTATTTGCATATCACGGACAAAACAGTAGAAAAATACAAGATATGGCTAATATTGCAAAATGAACACAGTGGATAAGCAACTGTGCTACGTTAAATAGTTTAGAATTGGTGGTAAGAATATGGTGTGTTACCCGAAATTGAAATCATTGAAATTTTAATATTTTTTGTGACCTTATACGTAATTGTATAAATTCTTATTCCATTCTCTCTCATTAAACAATAATTTTTCTCGCCATTTTATTCTACCAGTAGCTACGATATCATCTCGATTAAGAACGTAACATAAACAAATTGGACCCACAAGTATTTTGCAAGATCTTTATACTTGGAGGTAAAAAGGGTGCATATCTGGTTTTATTGGTGAACCCAGAGATTTATTAAAGAGGGAAGGAAAGACCATTTAGGAGTTGTGATAATAAGTGGGGAATGTTGAGCTCAGAGATATGACAATGAGATATGAATTCGAGCCCCGACTTTTTGCAATGCGCGTGGAATTGTCGAGCTCGATTATTTAACAACGTGCAATGAGAGAAGGATAGTCGAGCTCAGTTTTGACAAAGATCGATGTAGAATCTAGCGCAGAGTTGGGATGAAAGGGGAAATTCTTCTGGCGTTTAACGAAGAGGTGTCGATTCCAGACGTTTAATACTGAGCGAGGGAGATACCTGCTCTGAGTTGTGATATCATGATTATGGTGTTGCATTCAGGGTTGTGACAATGAGCGAAGGAATTATCGAGCCTGGAGTTTTAGTAATGCGCGAATGAATGTCGAGTTCAGATTTGCCTTGCGATCGTTGTAACTTTTTCTTGCCTTTACTTCAAGTGATTTGAATTCCATGTTCAAAACATATTTTTGGGGGTTAAGAGGTGGTTCATTAACATGGAATTATTAAGCAATTTACCGTTTAAATCATCTTGTGAATTTAGAAATACAATAATGAAATCTTATTTGAGAAATGATATGTTTTCGTTTGACAAAAACCTGACACAAATAACACATTTCAATAACAATGTCAACACATGAAACCTTTATATATCATAATGGGGTTCTTTTTACTGAGTATGAATCTAAGTAGGTCATTTACTAGTAATAATACAGATCGGGATAGGACCATATTTACTTACAGCACCAAGTCATTTATCTGCGGGATAGAACCACATTTAACTACCGTACCAAGTCATTTATCTGCGGGATAAGACCACATTTACCTACCGCACCAGGTCATTTTGTCTGCAGGATGGAACCACATTTACCTACCGCACCAGGTCATTTTGTCTGCGGGATAGAACCACATTTAACCACCGCACCAGGTCATTTTGTCTGCGGGATAAAACCACATTTAACTACTGCACCAAGTCAATTTATCTGCGGGATAAGACCACATTTACCTACCGCACCAGGTCATTTTGTCTGCAGGATGGAACCACATTTACCTACCGCACCAGGTCATTTTGTCTGCGGGATAGAACCACATTTAACCACCGCACCAGGTCATTTTGTCTGCGGGATAGAACCACATTTAATTACCGCACCAAGTCATTTATCTGCGGGATAAGACCACATTTACCTACCGCACCAAGTCATTTATCTGCGGGATAGAACCACATTTAACTACCGCACCAGGTCATTTTTCTGCGGGATAAGACCACATTTACCTACCGCACCAAGTCATTTATCTGCGGGATAGAACCACATTTAACCACCGAACCAGGTCATTTTGTCTGCGGGATAGAACCACATTCAACTACCGCACCAAGTCAATTTATCTGCGGGATAAGACCACATTTACCTACCGCACCAAATCATTTATCTGCGGAATAGGACCACATTTAACCACCGCGCCAAGTCATTTATCTGCGGGATAGGACCACATTTAACCACCGCACCATGTCATTCATCTGCGGGATAGGACCACATTTAACAACCTCACCAAGTCATTCATATGGGGGATAGGACCACATTTAACCACCGCACCAGGTCATTTTGTCTGCGGAATAGAACCACATTTAACTACCGCACCAAGTCATTTATCTGCGAGATAAGACCACATTTACCTACCGCACCAGGTCATTTTGTCTACAGGATGGAACCACATTTACCTACCGCACCAGGTCATTTTGTCTGCGGGATAGAACCACATTTAACCACCGCACCAGGTCATTTTGTCTGCGGGATAGAACCACATTTAACTACCGCACCAAGTCATTTATCTGCGGGATAAGACCACATTTACCTACCGCACCAAGTCATTTATCTGCGGGATAGAACCACATTTAACTACCGCACCAAGTCATTTATCTGCGGGATAAGACCACATTTACCTACCGCACCAAGTCATTTATCTGCTGGATAGAACCACATTTAACCACCCAACCAGGTCATTTTGTCTGCGGGATAGAACCACATTTAACCACCTCACCAAGTCATTCATATGGGGGATAGGACCACATTTACCTACCGCACCATGTCATTCATCTGCGGGATAGGACCACATTTACCTTCCGCACCAAGTCATTCATATGCGGGATAGGACCACATTTACCTACCGCACCAAGTCATTCATATGCGGGATAGGACCACATTTACCTACCGCACCAAGTCATTTATCTGCGGGATAGGACCACATTTACCTACCGCACCAAGTCATTCATATGGGGGATAGGAACACATTTACCTACCGCACCAAGTCATTTATCTGCGGGATAGGACCACATTTATCTACCGCACCAAGTCATTCATATGGGAGAAGGACCACATTAAACCACCGCACCAGGTCATTTATCTGCGGGATAGGACCACATTTACCTACCGCACCAAGTCATTTATCTGCGGGATAGGACCACATTTAACCACCGCACCAAGTCATTCATATGCGGGATAGGACCACATTTACCTACCGCACCAGGTCATTTTGTCTGCAAAAAGAAAAGGGACTGGTTTTCATCTACTGATGTTGCAGAAACCTAGCTATATAGGTATCTGATGGTAGCTTTAAAGCATAACCCCCAATGTCAAAAACTCACAAAGTCCCTATGTAGCTGGATTTTATACTACAAATAGGGATGTATATATGTACTTTATTCCTTACATAACAATCCAGAGACCGTGCGTTGAACGCTTACTGTGCAGATTCAATATCCAACGAGAAGCCCAAATGACATAAATTTTACTAGACAAACTGGGATCTCAGATAAGTATATAATGACATCATGCTTATCTGTACTATTTTTATAGGTATTACAGATTTACCTTCGGCGTCTTTGAAGTTAGATGACGATATTGATTTCCTGGATGTACATGTAGATATGACAAAGAACAACTGGATTAGTTCTAGCAAATCTTTTCATCTGCGAATTCCCAAAGGAACCAACGGTTTGCCTTTTTAAATTTCCCAACCAATTTCTATTGTCCACTTTTTAAAATCTTAATTCCTTACTCATAACGGTTCGTGGTATAGTAAACAACAAACGAGAGTGCGAACTGAGGGAGAAAATCGTTATGTAAAAGTGAGAATAGGATGTTCTTTACAACGTGACGGTCAATAAGTGGCGTGGAGGTTTTGCGCTCCATAGTGTGTAACCTGGAAATCAAAGCGTACGGTCTGGCTGTGGGAACTCGGAATGTTCACCAAAGTAGTACAGACCGGATTGGGAACTATTGCCTGTGTGGCTGTAACGTTCGGTGAGTATAAAACGGAATACAGAAAGATGCCTTTTAAGTTTTTGACACCACTATAACGCTTTAAAATAACAATCTTTATAAATTAAAGAAATTTGAATATATTCACATTTACCCTCAAAAAAATGACTGCTTATATATAGAATAATATTACACCAGAACACTAGAAGTATGCACCATGTTGTGATTTCCTGAACGACAGTTTGATA